CTCCGAAAATTCTAGTAATTCAAAGTGGAAAAAATTCAAGAAGTAAAAAAAAAGAAACAAATGAAAATTTTTTCTAGGGGTTGGAAGGGGGAGATGTGAATGAAGTTTTATTTAAAAATTTCGCACATTTAGCGAGGGAGAGAGAGCATCAATGTGAGAAAGAGAGAGTGGGTGGGTGGGAGAGTGAGTGAGATTGAGAGAGCGTGAATGTGACAAAAAGTAGAACGTGAATGTGAGAAAGAGTGGATGAATAAGTGAGAGTGGGAGAGCGTGAATGTGAGAAAGAGTACCCGGGTGAGTGAATGAGTGAGGGAGAGAGAACGTGAATGTAAGAAATAGTGGGTGAATGAGAGAGAGAAGGGGGTATGTAAAAAGTTTTCCCTTTCAGAAAAAGTGGCTCTAGAGTTGTTCAATAAAAATATGGGTTTCTCATTTGCAGTACCCATAGTTCCACTCCGTATGTCCATATTGGTTTGCAAGCACCTACATAGACCTGACCAGAAACATAAAATTTGTTCTGCTGCCTCCTCCTCTTCCTGGCAGTATCTGCACGGTTTCTTCTGTCTGTACTCTTATACGATGCACGGGCTTTCTTAAGAGCAGTGCCCTGTCAGGGGTTTGACCAGAATCCTGGTTAAGTTTTGGTTGCCTCCAGTAATTTTGCACATGCCTCTACCTGATATTGTTCCACCAGATTTTGGACACCATTTTATGATGCATCCTCTGTTGAGGCAGGGTGCTAAGCAACAGTAAGGTTCATGTCCCTCTTTGGCCAACATGTCAACTTTTTCCTTGCCTCTATGCCCCGAGTGCCTAGGGACCCATGCCAGGACATGTCGGAGGTTGGATAGGATTCGAATTAGAGGATAGGATTGCGGTGTCGTCCGCGTAGGTAGTGATAATATTGTCAGGATGAATTGGTAGGTCAGCAGTATAAATAATAAAAGGGTACGACCAAGGATACTCCCTTGTGATACGCCAGCCTCTATCTATTTGACTTTGTTCGCCAATATATAGTAAAATATTCAGCTCCTCGTAAGAATTACTCTATCGGTTTCTTTTTGCCACAACTTTCTCATTTTTTGACCGATCGCACCATTGTTGTCAGCGTAAAAAATCGTTTAAAATGGCAGGATGTAGGGTCGTACCTGAAATTTTTAAGTTGATCTCGGCCTGAGAAACCCTATACATCGATGGCGCATTTTCCAAAGTAATGGCTATAAGCTATAAGGGTTCAATGACAGACCTGTTTAGCTGTGGAGGAAATAATTGTATTCTGCATCAACCCCCAATTAAGTCACAAAAAAAAATCCCGCAGTAGCAAGTTTTCAACCGTTTATGTTAAGTTATGGAAAAACATAATTATGAGGGGAAAAAAGGCGGATCGATGAATGCTGAGAAAAGAGGAAAATCCATCGCACCCGAGGTCGAACGGTCCCAAAGATGCAACCCGGATCATCCCCCACCAATAATTAAACAAATAATAATAAACGTAATATACATTGTTTATTATTCCGTGAAAAGGGAAACTGCCGCGGTTTTTCCCTTTATTTCACGGTTCCCACATACAGCAGAGCAGTTTTCGTCCCGCGGCGTTACGCAACCCAGGCGGGAAAGGGGTTGCGTGTAGGAGAGAAAAAACCTTTCCTGCAAGTATTTTCTGCTTAGAAAACTGAGATTAACTTAATAGTAAAACTATTAAGCAAAATGGGATGAACATAAGAATAGGGGATAGGGATAAATAAGGCCTTCTGCACCACGACCTGAGTAGATCTATTGTGCTCCCCTGGTTTTTATAATTCACTGGCCAGCATCAGGTTGTTAATCAACCTCCATAGCCTTGCCAGCGGCTCCTTAGTAGGATCTTCCTTGTGGTTTTTCCTGTCCTATTTGCAAAAACTCTCGTCTGAGGTATGGAAGGATAGGTAAACTTGGTAGTGCTCTGCATAAAGGTGGTAACTACAGTTCTGTATGGAGTCGGAGAGGTCGTTAATGTGTACACTAAAAAGGTGGCAAAGATGCTAGAGCATTGGGGAACGCCAAACGAAGGAGGATGTACATACTATGCGTCAGGAATAGTGACGGCTTGAAGGCTATTGGTGAGATAGGAGTGGAACCAACGAAAATAGGTTTCTAATTTGGATAGGAGTGATGTGTGGCGAAGGCTTTGGAACAGTCAAGGAGAATTAGGATCGTAACTCTCCGGTGGTCAATCATGGTGTGGAGATCACTAGTGATTTTGGTGAGGGCGGACTGCGTGGAGTTACCTTGGCAGATGGCCTATTGTAGGGGATTGGAAAGACGCTAATGTTCTAGGTACCCGGAGACCTGGGCTTGGACTAAACTCTCAAGGGGTGATCTTGGCAGATGCCCGATTGTAGGGGAGTGAAAAGATGCTAATGTTCTAGGTACCTGGAGACTTGGGCTTGGACCAAACTTTCGAGGGTTTTGGAGAGAATGGATAAGAAGGATATGGGACGATAGTCCTTAGGGAAGAAGGATAGGAGGTTTTGTTTGTTGATGGGATGGACAAGGGCTTTCTGTAAAGAGTAGTTGTAAAATATGAAGCAGGACAGGAAGAATGACAGGGAGGCCGAGTTTAAGGAATTTGTTAGGGAGGCCTTCGGCTCCAATGGCCTTGGAATGGAATTTGGCCATTGCCTCAAGTATATCAATAGGGGATAAATAGAAGTAAAAGATGAACTGTATGTGGGGCCCGTGGGAACAATTAAGGAGGCGTGGCTGAGTTGATGTAGGCAAAATGGTCAGTTTTGTTCATCCTGGGAGACAGGAAAGAAAGAGGATGAGTTGGTAGAGTGGCATAGATTAATATGTAAATCGAATTTTGTGAAAAATACCAACAATCCGAACAGAGTGCTGGTGACCTCATCTCCCATAAAGACCAGGGTAGAACAGCTGCATAGCCAAGCTGAAATCTCTTGGATACACGAGACAGTGAAAAATAACACTCACACACAAACTCCCTATGCAGATCTATAGGCAATTATGACACGAAGAAACTATAGAGACGTAAAAGCATAGAAACTATTCTACCCCTAACATAATCCATATAATGTGTTTACCGTTCAATTTTATTAACACTGTGATAAAATTTACTGTGATGTTTAATTTATATATATTTATATTTATTTATGTACACTTATTTATTAATCTATCGGCTCTTTCAACCCTTTTTTTCATGATCATTTGAACGGCCTGGCGTTTTAAAACATTAACATACGTATAGATTTTATGTTAAAATCATTTTTGTTTACATACATTTGAAACGGGAAGGTTACAGACTCGGTTCAGGTTACGTTCTAATCCTATCTACATTATCACCCCCAGACCGTTTTTCTCGTCTTTTTTCATTGCTCTTTAAATAATTAACAAGTCATTATAATCGTTTCAAACAGCCTGGCATTTTAAAACATTAATATTCGTATAGATATTATGATAAAATTTAAGCGTTTAAAATTAAAGCGTGTTTACATACGCTTGAAGCAGTAAGGTTACAAACTCGGGTCAGGTTACGTTCAAATCTTGTAGTAATCATCATCCCAGACCGTTTTTCTCTCCTTTTCTCATTGCTCTTTAAGTAATTTACAAATCTTTATAATCGTTTCAAAAAGCCTGGAATGTTCCAACATTAATATACGTATAGATTTTATGTTAAAATTGTTTTTGTTTACATACATTTGAAACGGTAAGGTTACAACTCGGGTGAGGTTATGTTCAAATCCTGTAATAATTATCGTCCCAGACCGTTTTTCTTGCCTTTTTTCATTGCTCTATAAGTAATTTACATGTCTTTATAATCATTTCAAACGGCCTGGCGTTTTAAAACATTAATATATGTATAGATTCTATGTTAAAATTATTTTTGTTTACATACTTTTGAAACGGGAAGGTTACAGACTCGGTTCAAGTTAGGCTCAAATCCTGTCGATTATCACACACAGACCGTTTTTCTCGCCATTTTTATTGCTCTTTACGTAATTTACAAGTGTTAATCATTTCGTTTTGATCGACGTTTCAAAACCGTACATATATTACATATTTCTAATGTGTATTACTTCTGTTTTGCATATCACAAAGACAAATACAATTATTATTGTAAAAACTCTTGTAAACCGACGGTTGTACACATAAAAACGTTTATTTATTTATTTATTTATTAATATCTGATTGGAATTTTCAATTATTCGTGTAATTCGGTTCTATTTCTTTTTGGTCGGTTGTAGATTCCTTACGGGTTGCAGATGTCAAAAATTATTAAAATTTTATCTTCTATGGGACTTCAATAAAAACTGTTTTTCTTTGTTTGAATTTTTTTTTTTTATTTCCTAATAAACGTTGACTGCTTTACAGGAATAAAGATTTTTTAACGCTTCTAGGTTTGAAATAGTCTATTAAACCCGCTTTTGTTCATCGTTCATATTCGTTCATTACTTCTGTTTATAACGGGGAGGTTGCAGATTCCTTACGGGTTACAGATGTCAAAAATTGTCGAAATTTTTAACCACTGTCGAGTTTCTTTTTTCCGTCGAGAACTGTTGTTTAAATAAAAGTAAATTTTCAAATTCGATTAAATTCGCCCCAGGTTTCGAGGCTTTTCGACGGGAAACAGAGTTGTTTTTGTTTTCTACAGTACATTGAGGCGGTGGTGAAGAGGGAGGGGTCGCGTCTCTAAATCGGCCCATTATTTTTGGCCACCAACCTTGAAAACCCACTGAAAAGGGTTGCAAAAAAACAAATCCAGCGGGTTGAAAATGAAAGGCGGAAAACAATAATAAAGTATGATAAAGATGGGGTGTGAAAAAAGTTAATTTTTAGGTTTCTTTTTTAATTTATAAATTTTAAGAGTTAAGATTTTGATACTATTGGTTGGTGGAGGTTGCCCCAGGGCGGAAAAGCCGCCTGAGTGGCCGATGTGTTTTTATGTTTTTTTTTTTTTTTAATGTTCTTTTTATGTTTAATCAAAATTAAACTTTTCTTACCTTGAATACTTCTGAGAAGAAACCCGTACCGATCTTCTCGCAGAAAAAGTCGTCGAGCCTGTTGAGGGTGGCGACGGCAGACTTGAGGGCGAGGCAGCTCGACCCGGTCACCCGCGAGTCCCGCCGCTCCTCATCCGACATTACAGCGGTGGTTTTACTTAGTCGGGTTTGTTTGTTTTTTTTTTTTTTTTCACCTAGGTCACCATGTGGTCCGGACACTTTTTCCACCGCTGTCCGTCCGTTCTAGGATTGAGAAGGTCTGTTACTGTCAAGGCGAGGAGACGTCAAAAAAAGAACCGTTCGGGCACAATACTCGCGGACCTGTTCACGGTTCACACGGTGGATGAGGACTGGCCGTCCATGTTGACGGGTGTCCCGGACGGGGTGGGAGCTGCCGACTGGCGAGGGTGGACTGTCGCGACGCCCGGCGGCACCAGTCTCCAACCGACTGCCCGCTTATTTTCAAGAAATAGTCTTTATGAGACAGCATAATAAAAATGATTAATGTTGATAAATTGAATAAGAAAATTAACTGAATAAATTAATAAATTTTCCATTTTATTTTATTATGCCTCAGGTCATTCACTCTTTCAAGAGCCCAAATCATTGTGCTGTTAATTGTAAAGATCCCCAGGGTCTCATAAGGTATGCTCGCTACGCCTGGAAGTATAGTTACCATTTAGTTCAGGAATTTAATTTTTAATTTCGTATACACCTTTCCTTCATTAAATACACAATCACAAAAAGTTAATGATCTGGACGAAAAACCCATTACTTTTCTGCGAATTTATTGATATTCTACAATTAATGCAAGCATATCCAGTTTTATGTTTAATTTTCAATTTCCAACTATGTGTGACAATTTACAACGATCCCCGACGACAGACGGATTTAATTCCATGTTGTATGTACTTTTATAAATATGTTTCGTCATGTGCCCAAAGTTGTAAAATAAAGTATTTCTATCTGTCTCTCTATTTAATGATAACTGTTGGATTATGTTGTTCAATGCTTATAAAAAGATAGTTCCTACTTAAAGTTAGTTTCTAACTATCTGTTCTCTAAAGATACGAGCACAATTGTCGTAAGAACATGTTTTTATTTGATGCTAATGATTTAAATTTGTGGAATACTTCTAGACCATAATTATGATAAATTCTCTAAAAGAAAAGCATGATGTCCCGGTAAGATATTGTTAAGAGATGGATTGTGTGTTGATACGTTTGTGTGATGATCAGGTATTAGGTAAGAGAAACATAGCTTGACATGAAGTTGGCAGCTATGTTTCTGTAACCTGATTATTTACACAAACAAATGTATTTATTTATTTACAGGAACTTTCGACAATTATACATTTTATACTTTTAATCACGGTGAATTATTCTTTTTATCTAAGGTATTTGGTTGAGATGAAAAAGTGAGTGCCAAGGCGGGATTCGAACCCACGACCTACGGCTCAATACGTTGCTGCTCTAACCACTTGAGTTATTGTGCCTTCGATCCCCTCAGACACAGAGCAATTAATTGAAATAATTAATATGGTCAGTTAGCCTACTAAACATAAATGGATTAATAAAAGAGATTGTTAGACTTTGGGAAACATCCTTCCAAATTTCCTGGCGTAATGAGTTCGTACTATGCCGATTACGGATAGGGCAGACAAAAATGACCCACAGGCACCTCATGTAAAAATCTGTACCACCGATATGCCTTTGTAATGATCAATTAGATGTAATATGTATTAAACATAATTGCGCCCCCTCCCTTTTGTCTGAGTGGGCCCCCAAAATCCCCTCGACTATAAAAGAAGTGTTAGGGAATGGACGGAAAAAATTGATCAAGCATTCGAAAGTCTAAAAATGAGAAATCTCTAATAAACTTTTTACATAATTTCCAATAAACTAGAATAATAATTAAAAAACTTACTTAAGATAGAAGGTTTAAATGTTATAACATGACCTTAGGCATTAAAACGCATTAAAAATTGATAATAACAATAATAATAACTAAAATTGTGTATACATTTTTTTGAGTACGTGAACGTGTGATCATTATACAAAGGACATAATTATTAATTTGTCTTGCCAGCCTGTCTGTGAACCATTTGATAACCTTCACATTTTTTATATATTTTTCTTATATGTGAGACTAATTGTTTTTCCATGTAAGGTCAGTCTGGTATTATTATTATTAAAGAGTTAGTAACAGGTAGATGGAAAAAAATTTAAAAAAGTCCATTTTTCAGATATACAAAGGCATGGATCAGCAGGTGTCCTGCAGCACGTCAGCTGAGGGCGTAACGCAGGACAGCAACATGTATCTATGCGTCGAGTGTGACTTCAAATTCGATTCCAGCTCGTCGCTCAAGGCCCACGTAAGGCTGCATTGTTCGAACGAAGCCGTGAACCGTCTCGGCGGTGAGGATAACTTCTCGCTGTCGTGTAGTCTTTGCGATTACAGATGCTCGGAACGATCGGACCTCGACATTCACGACGAGAAACACAAGGACAAGAAGAGGTTCTCGTGCAGTCTCTGCGATTACAGATGTTCCCTCAAACACCACCTAAAGCGGCACATGCTCTTGCACACGGGCGAGAAGCCCTTCTCGTGCTCCGCGTGCGATTACAGATGCTGCGATATGTTTGATCTCAAGAAACACACGCGCATACACACAGGTGAAAAGCCGTTCGAGTGTAGCCTCTGTGACTGCAGGTTCGCCAGGGGGCACCATTTGAAACAACACCTTTTGACGCATTCGAAAGAAAAGCCGTATTCTTGCAACCTCTGTGATTACAAGTGTTCACAGCAGAAGGACTTAAAGAGGCATATGCAGGTGCACACGGGCGAGAAGCCATTTTCATGCAGTTTCTGCGATTACAGATGTTCAAGGTCATACCATTTGAAACGGCACATGTCATTGCACACGGGGGAGAAGCCGTTTACGTGCGCAGACTGCGGTTACAAATGCTCGCAGCTTTCGAACCTAAAAAGGCACATAAGGATGCAGTCGGAGGAGAAGCCGTTTTCGTGTACTTTCTGTGGTCACGGCTTCTCGCAGCAGTATGACCTAAAGCTGCACACGCTCACTCACACTGGGGAGAAACCATTCACGTGCGACGTGTGTGGTTACAGGTGCTCGAGACAATCGCGTCTCAGCCAGCACATGCGTACGCACACGGGCGAGAAGCCACTGTCATGTGATTTCTGTGAGCTGAGGTTTTTCTACCCATCTTACCTCAAGAAGCACATGGCGAAACACATGGAGCGAGAGCCATTGCGATGTGCTCATTGCGATTACACATGCATGACAGAGCCGACAATGAAAAAACACATTTTGGAACGTTGTCAAAAACGATGAAACTCCCTCAAAAGAACCTCTAATCCTATAATTGTTCTAATTATCTAAATGTTTACAAACTTTTATATATATTTTATAAAATAAATTATTTATTTTTTTATAACAATTAACAATTTTCTTTTTGTTCATTTAAGATCGCCCATTACTACATAAAATCAAGACCACGCTGGTCAATTTCAGGGGTAGAAACATGGTTTACTTATCACGTCCACCTTTACTCATGGGTTGGTAGAACTTAAACATGTTTAGGCATTGTGCCATCTTCAGTGAAGAATTACAAACCGACCCCACTATACATTACAAACTATTTCAAAAGCGTTACATGCAATTTTTAAAAAATTTACTGTAATATATACTATTCGGAGATTGTGAGATGTGGTCTTAGAAAAACATTTTCTTTATCGTGCCAATGTTTCGATCTTTATTGAGATCATCTTCAGGGCTCAAAGTGTTTTGTTTTCTGCGTAATTTTGCCATTCTTGTGTGTCATGTTGAGAGTGCCCATGGGCTTTTTCCAGGGCACAGGCGTTGATGGCATATATTTCTGCTTGAAAGACTGAAGTGTACTTCCCTAATGAGTTTGATTACTCTATGGGCTTGTACAAAAAACACCCAATCTGGTTCCAGCCATCTGTATACCATATCATTGTATCTGATGTTGTCCTCAGTTCTTCCTCTCCTTTATAACCCATTGAGACTTTATAGGATGTTGTAAAGAGTGTTTCCAAGATTATATAGTCAATCCACATCTGACTAGCCATCATACATTCTTGTTGATCGAGGGACGTATTATGAATCCATTGTCTAATGGATCCGCATTTTTGGCAGTTTAGTAAGCAACTGGTGTCCTCATTGAACTTTCCTTGGCCAATTTATCGGCCTCTTCGTTGTCCCTGTGCCCTGGCACTCGACAAGGGTAATTTTGTTATTTTCCCCAAAGTCTGACTAATGCAGCTCCAAACTGGACTTTACCATGAATGCAGTAATTGTCTTCAGTGCTGCCTGGCTGATGGAGTGGATGGCTACTCTTCTATTGACGATCCCCAGCCTTGAAAGAAGGTGGCATATTATGATAAGGCTTATATGAATTCTAGTTCTTGGTTTATTTCTGTAAATGCCAGCTCCTGACGCATATTCGATTTTGAAGCCATCTGTAAACCAACAATCGGCATTAACTGGGATCTGGGGGGAACTGCTCTACAAAATATTTTGATTAGAAATTTTTTCTCAAAACTGAATTTAGGGGTCATGGGTTCAGCAGGCATCCCAGCCTGTCTAACTGAAGCTCCCCTTGAAACTTCCGTTGCCACTTATGTGAACAGGCTATCGGAGCCTGTCCCTGGATAAAGATGTGTGGTGGCGGTCGATTCAGTAGGACTTCCAGGTCAGCAGTGGGGATAGTTCTCTTTACACCAGAGATGCTCAGACACGCCAGCCTCTGAACAGTACTGAGGATCTGAACTGCCCTTAGCTTAGGGAAAGAAGAGATAAATTTTCGGGGTTTAGACTATGTAGGTTTGATGTATCGAGTGTAATAATTGAGTTATATGTATGTTACTTATATTGAATTTGATTACTGATATTACAGTAACTGCGGCTGAGTTTACATGTGTCTCTTCTATAATTGATGATGTGTTTATCTCGGTTGATGTAAACCATTTTTTAAAGTTACATTTATATTTGTTTTGTTCTGGGTTTAATAATTTTGGATTGTTGAAATCCAAGTTGTGTTCGTGTTCACATTGGTGGGTAGCTAAATGCTAATGCTGTAGGATTTTTTTTTTGCAATCTTAGATACATTGTTTTACCCTCTTATCCAGATATTGGGATGTAATTCCAATGTAAGTTGCCAGACAATTTATATTTTGTTGTTATATTGTTTAAATTTTGTAAATCCTTACCCACTTCTTTAAAAATAAATAAATAAATAAATAAAATAAAATAAATAAATAAATAAAAAATCACAAACATTCAACTCACCTCACAACACATCTACTTGACTTTGAGTGTGTGTACAAATACTTTGATTAAACCTAAAATTTCTATTTTGTAAATACATTGTACAATGTAAAAAAAAGTCATAACTTATATGTATTTATATATGTATGTTTCTTAGTGACCGGTTGTTTCATAATTTGTTGAAGTTTATTAACTAACGGTCACTAATCACCACACATTTGTTGAAGTTGACCACTCCTCACAAATTCAACAAATGTATTTGTATAATTTAAACAATGTTTATAAATCCCAGGCCCTGAAGATAATCTCAAAAAAGGCGAAACATTGGAACAATAAAGAAAATATTTTTCTAAATGTAAGTCACACCAGACCGCATCTCATGATCTCCAAGTAATAATTAACGATCACTAAATACCATAAAAAAGTATAAAAGTGAAATGTTTGTTGTGTAAAATAAAAGTAATTTCATTACGGAAAATAATCTGTTTTAGATAAGAAGAGCATAATGGTAAGACTTACATGTTTCCTGACTTTTTTTGCCCAGTGCATATTACTACCATTTTTTTCCTTTTTCCGCCATTTTTTTTTTTTTGTCTGGTAACCGGAGCCTTCCTATACCTGACAATATTGGAAAGTAAGTTTTTTTTAATTAAAAAAAAAAGATTTGTAGTGATGAAACGTTTGAAATTAATTGTCAATATGGATTTTAAATTGTTTTTATTGTTTTCTTAGAGATTTGAATTGCTGTTTATTGGCGCGTTTTACCCTCTAGTAACCAGAGATGTACGGTAACCCCCCACGAAGAAAAAAAAGGAGGATTCAGTTGTTAATGGAATAAAAACGTGTGTATTGGGTGTAAAATGATAAAATGAAGTATTATGATATTTGAGTTGAAGAATTTGGGTAATTTGAAGTAGTTAGGTCTGTTTGAAAAAGTTCGATATTTGGCGGTGTAGATTGTACCCGGTTAGTACGCGTCCGTAGCGCTGCAAACGCGTAGTCCGTACCGGAGACGTCTACCCTATCGGACCGTCGTCGACCTCGAGGATCGCAGAGTTCCCGGTGTACGGCAGGGCGAGAGAGAAAGGGGCGAAAGAGCGAGGAGAGGCGGACCCGAAATGGGACAGGTCTTCGGCCGAGGGAGCCAGCGAGAGTGAAATGCCATGAAGGAGATGGTCGGCGGGTGTTGTGTTTGCTCAGACGACCGCGGATGGGCCGAGAACCCGCTCGTGTACTGCGACGGACCGGGGTGCACGGTCGCCGTACACCAAGGTAAGATGGACGGGGAATCTGGTGTCCCGGGGCCCCGGCCGCCCCCTTTGTTTACCCCGGGCGGTTACCCGCCATTTTGAGCTTAACCTCGACCCCACGCTCCTTCCCATCATACGCCGGGAAACGCCAGTTAAAATAATAAATAAATAAAAAAAATTACTAATTTTTCAAACAGTTTTCTTTATTATAAACTAAAAAAAATGCTGTCAAAAAACCTTCTCTCACAGTTTTCCTTTAAAACCTCAACAAAACGACCCCCAAGACTGACAGAAGAGTATAAACTGCACAAAAATGAATTGGGATATTTGAAATTTAATCTTATTCCATTAATTTTAATCAAAATAACCGATATAGAAAATTAAAAAAATTGTTAATCCATATTTTTAATAACGGAGTTACTTAAGAATAGTAAAAATGAAGTTCTCATTTTGTAAACAAACAACTTTTAATCCTTAATCCGATTAATTATTCTTTTATCTAAGGTTTTTGGTTGAGATGAAAAGTTAGTCTCATGAGCGCGATTTGAACTGTCGGCTCAATGCGCTGCTGCTCTGACCACTAGAGCTATTGCGATTTCGATCCCCTCGCAGACTCATCATCCTCATCTGTGATGTTAGTTGGATTAAATAGAAAATACAAACCAGAAACAACCAAATGTTAATCCACATTTTTATTAACAGATTTACTTAAGAATAGTAAAAATGAAGATAACTCTTTTTGCAAACACCTTGTCTTGCCTTTTCTCAATTTTAATTCAGTTGTATTCTCTTTAACCATGGAAAGACATCATCTTGAACCAGAAGTTGGCAATATTATTGTTTGAATGAGTCATCGAGGTCATCGGCAAGTGGATATCGCAGAGGCGGTCGGTGTTTCTCAAATCCGAGAGACTGGAAGTGCCAATAGGAGGCTCATTAGTGGATCTCAGCGTGTTACGATTCTAAGGAAGGACTGAAATGTCATGCAAAATAGATCCTTAATAAAGTACAAGATGTTTTTGCAAGGTCTTTATCGACGAATCATTGTGGGAAGTTGGCCTCACATTTTTCGCCCCTTTGAAACGACTTGCAATAGCCCTCTATCAGAGACTCAGGAGAATATGGTGCAGGAAGCACCAAGGAGAGTACACTAATTGGACTGTTATGTTTACTGATGTCGCATTTATATCTGCATAATTCAGCAGGCGGTCCTACACTAAGAGAGAGAGAGAACACCGAGAACAGAAGATGTGTTAGTGCTCCCTTCAGTGCAGTTTGGAGGAGGCGGTGTCCCCCTAGGCTGGGAGGACGAACCCGACTCCATATTGTTGATGGCGATCTCACAGCAGTCTGTTATGTCCAAGAAATTATCGAGGGATACATCCCTCAAACTAGGAATCTCATTGGCATGGAGTTTCTATTTCTGGGTGGCAATGCCAGGCATCATAGAGGCAGTTGTTTATTGATTTTTAAAAAAACCTAGGAATTTCTTATCTGCCCCTTCACCCATTCTCTCTAGACCTCAATGAGTGCAGGTTCAACATGTGCAGCCAGTTGATGTTAAATGCTAATTGCTAAGTTTTTAATTTGATACTAGTATCAAATATTTTCTTTCGGTATTTGAATATGATCGAATACTTCTTTGATACAGTATTGGGTTCTGGTATCGAATATTCTTTAGTACTTCGCGTCACTATCTGTCTATCTTAGATAGAGATAGGGGGGAAATATATATACACAAAAATTTCAAAGAGCTTTCCGCTTACTTCAGTCAATGCTTGAAGCTGCCCCTCATGAACGCAGACACTCATGAACCTGAAAATAGAAAGTAGTGAGAAAAAATATTGCAAGAAGAAAATTAATATATCTGTGTAGAGATTAGTGACCGTTAATCGATAGTTATTCACGATAAAGAAAATGTTTTTCTGAAACCTACATCACACCCAACCGCATCTCACGATATCTGAATAACTATTAATATATCTATTTTTTTTATTTTTGAAAAATAAAAGAAAGAAAAATGTGGAAGGTCAAGTGATGAACAGCTCAAAAATGTGTAGGGATATTTATAATTTATTCTTATTCTATTAATTTGAATTCAAATAACCAATATAGAAAAAATGAAGATTGCTCACACAAACACCTTCTCTCGTCTTTTCTCCATTTTAATTCAGTTGTATTCTCTTTAACCATGAAAAGACATCATCTTGAATTAGAAGTTGGCAATATTATTGTGAGAATGAATGGCTGAGGTACCAGAGAGAATCACAGAGGTGGTTGGTGTTTCTCAATTCCGCTAGACTGGACGTGCCAATAGGATGCTCCGTACTGGATCTCAGCATGCTACGACTAAGAAAGGTCAGAAATATTGTTGTGCAAGGAGGAATCCTTTCCGACAGATCCGAAATGAAGTATGAGATGTTTTGGCAAGGCCTTTATCAAGTTGGCCTTGCATTGTATGCCCCCTTTGAGATGACCTGCATCAAGGAGAATATGGTGCAGTGAGCGCCTAGAAGGGTATACCAATTGGAATGTTATGTTCTCTGATGATTTGCGTTTCTGTCTGTTTATTGATAACAGAAAAAACTGGCACTCGCAGACAGAAACGTGACTCGTCAATGAATGTAAACAGCATTCCAATTGGTGTTAACAACAAACTGTAGCGCTACACTTGGTGTGCTTAAGGATGTACAATGTGGCCATAGAAGAAATTCAACCATTGAAACCAGGCCTACTAATCAAATTCCTTGATGAATTAGGACTCATTGGTGTGCTATAAGACACATAACAAGGGTTACTTAAATGGCACAGTATATTGCACACCCCAATTAATACATCTTCATCCAAGCCCTCAGGCTTGATTTTCCAACCAGAGATCTACGAGAAATAATGGATAATTGCATATGCAAAACAAAGTTCCTCAACATCCCAACCAGAAGTCCACATAGGAGTGTGTAAATTTTTTATCGTTGTCATGAATGTCTGGAAAGTCTAGCAAATTTTTTAAGTTGTATTGTACCCTTAGGTCGTGCAAACTGACCGAATATGAAAACTTATAAAAGTAGTTTAAAAATTGGGTTCTGAAGGACATGGCCATTCCACACACCCTTAACAATGTGCTGAAACACATGCCGACAAGCGAACACGTTAAAAATCCAAACCTGCGTTACTTCATGATGTAAACTGCTCAAAAATGAATATTTATAATTTATTCTTATTCTATTAATTTTAATTAAATTAACCGACATTTCTTGATTAGTTGATAAAAAAATAGAAAATAAAAACAAAATGTTAATCCACATTTTTAATAACGAATTTACTTAAGAATATTAAACATGCAAAGAGTAGTAAAATTCTCGTCTTTTCTACATTTTAATCTTGAGGTATTCTCTTTATCCGTGGAAAGACATCAACTTGAACCAGAAGTTAGTAATACTATTGTGAGAATGAGTCATCGAGGTCACAAGCAAGTGGATATTCAGAGGTGGTCGGCGTTTCTCAATTCTGAGAGACTGGAAGTGCCAATAGGAGGCCCGGTAGTAGATCTTGGTGCATTACAACTCTAAAGGATGACAGAAATATTGTCGTTGCTGCAAGACAGAACCCTTTCCATTTTTGTTTTGTCTGAATTTTTTCATCAATTCTGCAATATAAATAGGTTCCCTTACAGTCAATTTAACGTTATATCAGGTGGCACAAACCAGATTTTTCTAGCCAGAATTTCTGAAGTTGATAAACAATTTAGTGGACCTAAGTCGGGGAGAAAAAAATAACCAAAACCTGAAATTACGTCTTTACCATTGAGATTCAGACAGGGGTTTATAGGAAGTTTTTGTTGCATATAGAAACACCTCTTGAAATTTTCAACACCTATCGCCAGTCGCCCTATATATACAGTACAAATTATTACGTTTTCGATCATGGTGAGGCCCTAGGTTTCTTTATTTTCATTGTCTATTAGAGTAAATTTGAAGATATGGTTACTCGGGTTGTCTAGCCTCCATCTGGTTTGGGTCGTGTGCCCTTGGCAAAGCTTTGGAGTGGAGATTACCCTTGGTGATTTTAGTTAGTAGTAAAAAAATATTATAATGTTGGATTTGTTTGTTCCAGCTTGTTATGGAATTGTGACAGTTCCGCTGGGCAATTGGTACTGCAGAAAATGTGAAACTGAGGATAACACCATTGAAGTTGTAAGTTAATTTTTTTTCTGATTTTTTGTTTTAATTTCAAAATTTTTTATTTTTTATTTTAGTTCTGCGAGCTTTGCCCAAACAGGGAGGGAGCGTTGAAGCCGACGGACAACGATGCTTGGGCGCACGTCGTGTGCGCCCTTTACATACCAGAAGTTCGTTTTGGCAACGTCACAACGATGGAGCCTATCATATTGGCCCAGATACCGCAGGAGCGTTACAACAAGACGTGCTACATATGCGAAGAGGCGAACCGTGGCAGTAGTAGGTCGACGGTCGGCGCTTGCATGCAGTGCAACAAGGCCGGTTGCAAACAGCAGTTCCACGTCACTTGCGCTCAGAGAGACGGCCTCTTATGCGAAGAGGCTGGTAACTATATGGACAACGTCAAATACTGTGGCTACTGCCACCACCACTACACTAAACTGGTAAGGAAATATTTAATTAATTAAATTATTTTTTCCTTAAATTTTTGATTTTAACTTTTTTTTATTACTTTTGTTGTATTTTATTTTTAAACATCAATGATATTAAAGTGTAAGACAGTCTATGTTGGGTAAACAGAAAAAAGGTGGAAATGTCAAGTCGGTCCCACCATACAGGCCGATTGGGAATGACTCGCCAGAGACTACACCTCCAAACAAGGATCCAGAACCGACGAAGACGACTTCAAAGCGTAAATTGAGTAAGTTTAGTTTTTCTTGAGTATATATATATTTTATATATATAAAAAACTTTTGTAACTCGACTAGTGCATGTTAAGAAGGTCACCGGGAAGAGTTGGTGTTGAAATATTTCCCCCATTCCCCCCCCAATCCTTAAATTGAAAACACTGACGAATCTGTTTGACATCCGTCCAAGCAGGTACTGGATCGACAAAGGGCAACAAGACAAATGCGACAAACCAGGATGACCAGACAAACCAGGAGGACAACCTGAAGGAGCCCCCCGCCCCACTTCCCCATAATGTCACACAGGAGAAAACATCAAACCTAAAGCGGAAAAAAGGTAAAAAAAAAAAAACCTGGACGTGACAAAAAAAACAAAACAAAAAGAGATGAACATTAAGGAAACACCATAATGAACAAAATTTAAATAAAACAAATTATAAATGATTATTTGGAGATCGTGAGGTGCGGTCTGGTGTGATGTAGGTTTTAGAAAATATTTTCTTTATCGTGCCATCTCCAAATAATGATTAACTAATGGTCACTAAACACCACACACAAATTATAAATGTATATTTTTTTAGGAGGGAGCAGAACGCCACCTACTACGGGTCCTGCACTCAGCCCGGATGCATCACCGAGGCCGATCACGCCGCAGAATCCAACGGCCGTGTCTCAGTTGTCGTCGATGAATCCGGTGGTCGCGTTGACAGGGATCAGCATCCCCAGCATGTCGGGCAGCGTGAGCACAACAACCATTACGTCAACACTGCCGGGTCAGGTCTCGGCAGCGGCGCTCGTAGCTTCAACGCCATCTGGCGGCTCTTCGGGTCCTTCAAGCGTCGTCGAAGCGAAACGACCTTCTCAAAGTACGTTAAAAAAAATTATACATGCCTTCTGTTCCTATCTCGTAACATAGCTCTTAAACATATAATTATTGGACATTTTGTTATAATTTATTATTTAAAGTTAAATTCGACTTGAACTTTTCCTTTCAAAAAATGTAACCTCTCTAAAACCTCCAAGAATAGACCAACAGTTATGCCACCCGATTCTATTATTCAATGATAAGTTTGTTATTGTTTAATTTTATTATATCCACATTATTAAAATGTTTTTTCTTTTAAAGTCTTTTACCTTTAAATTATTGTAATACAATATTTCTTATTGTGTCAGATTTCATAAAATAAATTATTTTTGTATGTTGGTTGATTTCTGAGGGGCAGGGGTTCTACTGATGTGCTGATCCATTGCAATTCTGAAATACTCTTTTATATATATATAATTTTATTATATAATAATTAGTTTTAATTTTTTTTGTTTAGGTGTTTTAAAAGAGACGAGACCGAATTCAATTGTCGTTAATGTGCCTTTAGAGGTTGCTCTGCCAAACGCAGCACCGAGTGTACCGCCAGTGCCGACTGCAAGTCCCGTTTTAGTGGCAGAACCGATTTCTCCTGTCGGTTCCAACTCAACTCTGATGGAAGTGACGCCGGTGCAGTCACAACCACATCCACCTGTAAAACGTGTCAGGTATTTATTTGTTCAATTGCGAATTTTTATTATTTTAATGTTGTAATTATTGTTTGATATATAGATCTCAATCTTCTGAGAAATCGGATAAGTCGTTGTCGAGGAGATCTTCGAAGAGGAGTAGCGGTTCGTCGAGTTCTAATTCGGCGATCGTGATTGGCAACAGCGGGAAGATGTCGAACCACATGTCCCTGAAGAATGAAAGCCACTCGCACCACAGCAGTTCGCACAATTCGCACAGTATTCACCATTCGAGTTCGAACCATCACTCGTCCTCAATCTTAACACATGAATCTCGAAACGAGAAAAAGAAGATTACGAGTGGACTGAACATTTCGACGACATCGAACCACGTCCCGCCTGTGAGTGCGATCAAGGAAGAGAAGGACATAAAGATCCTCGCGTCAAACGCGCCTCACATGCTTGGCAACACACTCAACCCGGCGTCGTCAATGGCGCAGAAGATGTGCGACACGCTTTCCCAGGAGGTCGTGGCTCATTCTATATTCTCGACATCCGACCACTGTGGGAACCTACACCTTGTCGGGCCACAGAGATCTGTTTCGAACGTGAACACGACTCCCTCGTCAGCAGGTTCGAACAATTCATTCTGGTCGAACAACTCGATACCGCAGACTCTGGAGCAGCTGCTCGAACGACAATGGGAACAGGGATCTCAGTTCCTTATGGAGCAGGCTCAACACTTTGACATTGCTTCTTTGCTCTCATGCCTTCACCAGCTGCGTGCTGAAAACGCCCAGCTTGAGGAGCATGTCGCCACCCTCGTCGCACGACGGGATCAGCTACTTGCCGTCAATGCCAGGCTTGCCATTCCATTTACAACTGGCCGTAAGTTTTATACTTATATTTTTAACCCGATATAAATGGGAAAATTTTGATTTTGTTTTTCTTTTACAGTGCTTATACCGACGACAAACACGATGACAAACACGACAAACTCACAGGTCAATTTACCAAATGCACAACCAGTCGAAAACGGGATTTCAATCAGTTCACCGCACACTCAAGAGTTCAGGTCTATAACGTAAGTTGTATTAAGTTCACTCTTTTTTTCTTTTTTTTAATTAAGTAATTTTTTAAATATTTTGTTTCATTTTGTCCAGGCGTACTCAGGGAAATGGGCAGAATTCCATTACATACCAGTGTACTGCGCAAAATAGCGTATTGGTGAGGACGAATTCGACAGACGTGACGCGAAGGTAGTTAAATAAAAATAAAACAATATATTTTTTTTAAATAAGTAATTTTTCCTTTGTGGTCAGGTCTTCACAATCGCCAGCGAGTGGCGTGTTCAATTCGACGTCCGTGACTCAACACCAGTCGCAGTCGCAGGTGAACAAATCCGTCGCATTTATTCACAAGGGGTGGGTCTGATTTTTATGCATTTTCAGATGATAAGGCGTAGCGGCGAATCGGCTTCATCTGACGGCCAACACCATTCCCAGTCGTCGCGTCAGCACAACTCGAACAGCTGATCCGAGCGCCGTCCTACTCCGGCTCAACGATACATCATACAGACAAGACGGGGGCAGATACGCAAAGCCTGAACCGTCCGTTACCGTTGCATGTTTCTTTTGTCTCCTTTTCAAATTTATTTTTTCCTTATTCCTAAAAATTTTTCTTTTCTTGCGTGCGCATGGAATCATAATGTTCTTACCGATAGGGTGAGTCTTGCCACTATTTACCGAGGTACATCATATATTTTTTTTAAATCTTGAAAGCGTTTTTTAGTTTAATTATCAATATTTTAAATAAACAGTTTAATGTATTTTGTTTTTCTTCTATATTATTTGTGATAACCATAGAACAGTGTATACATGAATGGGGTGGTAAGTTGTTTTCAAGTTACCAGGAGCAAAAATCATACCCTGTATTTTTTTTTTTCTCCAAAAATGAACTCTTATAAGCAAAAAAACAATAGGTCCAGTCTTTTTTCACCATTTACTTGCAACGTAATATTGCCCTCTGTTCCCTTATGGATGTAAATATTGATTTCTTTGTATATAGACTGTGTGCTTTGTGTATATGGAAAAAACTTAAAGGACTGCCTTGCCCCGTTTTTTATTTCAATTTTTTTTCTCTTAAAATATACGTTAAAATCTGGTGGCGTCTGAACTGCTATTCTCCCTCGTCTCACAGTGTATATAAGTGGCTGTACATTCAGTCAGTAGAACAACGATCCGAGACGAGGGACCTTCTTCACCACTCAGGCTAGATTTGATCAGTGGTCATTGGGCCCCTCATACCCACCGCGCCATATAACAACGGGGTTTAGTGAGTAATTTATTATGGCATTTTACAAAAATAAATTTTAAAAAATTGTAGAAATGTTTAGGCATTTTAAAAAAAACAACACATTTTTCCTGTTTTAATATTGAATTTAGTGTTTCTTGGTTAAATTATAAATAATTAGTTCGATAATTTTTCTTTATTCATTATGAACATTTTTTAAAGACAAAAAATATTCATAATAAAAAAACCTAAGACTTTTAAGAATTTGAAATTTTATTATTAAAACAAACAAAACGAAAATACATGATTGAAGACGAGGGATCAAAATTTCTCTTTTTATTGTCATTATAAATTATTAATTATATTATTTTTTTATCCAACTGCTCAAATATTAATTTATTTTTATCATTATTAATTTCAAATTATGCATTTTTAGGCAGTGTTAGTGATGTCAGTTATTGTTGTAATAGTAATGATTTTTTTTGTGATTTGTAATTTCATTTAGATAATAAAAAATAAAATGCAAAAACAAAAACTTTTTTCTTTAAGTATATTTGGTTAAATTTAAATTATAATTTTCAAAACAATTGTCATAGTTATTTCTCCCAAAGTCCCAACCTTGAAAATTAAATTGAAAAATTTATCGCCGTTTTTATACAGCTTGGATGGATTTTTATACCTTAATGTGTCGATAGCCAACGTTATAACTATCGATCGAAGAAAGAAAATCGATATTCACCTTTATCGACCAGTACATCTTCAAAATTGAAAAAGAATCAATTTACACAAGATATCGGACATCAGGAATTGATAATTCTCATTATGTAACATCGATATTAAAAACAAAACATCTATATTTGTAGATATCGAATATGAAAAATATAGATGTATATCTCGATCATTAGAATTATCAATGTGTCGTGTTATTTGATCATTACATTTGCGAAACTGAAAAAAAATCTTACATAACACTAGATGCTGTTTAATATCGATTTTTCGACATTTATCTATACTTAACGAATCGATGCTATAATAGATAATTACATGTTCGATACGAACTCATCAATTACTTCGATGTCTAGTTTTATAATGCATTGTTTTGTTCGAGATTGTTGATCAAACGTGACATCGATAGTTTTATTGTTCGATATGGACAATTATCGCTAGGTTCGATAAGAGAAATAACCGATTAATCGATACCTCATTATCGATCTTTTTGAATTTTCTTGATCGGTGGCACATTGCTATGATATAATGATCAATAATGGCGAATATCGAGTTTTGATGATAGAAAGTTCATATTGATTGATTATTCGATACAATCTATTATCGATACTTTTCATATTCTACATTGCGAGATATCGATAGATATATGATGAATATCAAGTTTTAATTGACAAGTGATTATCGATTGGTTATATGTTCGATTCAGGAAAATATCGATATTACATGTCACAGCATATTCGATAGTTTCCAATATTGCCAGATAGCTCGATAATCGCGAATATTTATCTTTTTGAAGCTAAATATCTATTTTTTTCATTTTCGTTGATGCAAATTCTTCTAGCCTTTGGTTTGATTTCCTTCTTTTTCCCGATTTTCACGTAATTTTTTTTTTCAATTTTAGAACGTATCGAAAATCGATTTTTACTTTTTAATCGATTTTGTGGTTGATCGTGTAAAATCGAATTTTTAAATGTAAAATGAAGGATATGAGGATGAGAAGGATATAAAAAGCAGAAAAACACTTGAAGTAGTGAGAAACAAACTCGACGACTATTATTTACAGATCCGTCACTGTAAAAACCATTTGGAAAAAAATACAAGAAAAGAAGAAAAAAATACAATGTACAAAAATATATACACACATAAACACTGACAAAGTTTGTTTAAAAAATAATTAATTACAATTATCGATAATTTGGCGATGTTAAGTTTTTTGTATTATAATAAAAAAAAAGCTTTTTTTTCTTTTTTAAGCGTGGGGTATGACTTAGGTTGATGAATATGTTTTTAAACCAACATAAAGTAAACTTTTTTTGTACAATTAACAGAAATTAAAAAAAGACCTAATTTATCTACTACTTTACGGTTGACACTGTAGACCATGAGCATCATGGCTGAAAGTTTATGTTGAACGATGCATCGCGACGCAGGATGTGCGATGGGGGAAGGGGCACGGCTTTGTTGAGATCGACTGTCTTTCCAAGAATGGTGATGCGTCTCCGTCCTATGTTCAGAGGTGGAGTAGCGGGCTGGATAAAAGACGGGAAAAAAATATTAAATATTTACAAATGTTACGTTGTATTTCCTCTCTTACCTGTGTCATGATAAATGCGTAGGCGATCTTAAAAGCGGAAGCCTCTCTTGTTGGTAGAGTGACTGCACCGCACCCTGCTGACCCGGTGGGATTTGCAGACTGCAACTGCCCAATGTCGGCACGCCACGTCTTTGCACAGTCCTAACATTTGACAGATTAGGAAGATTTTTTAAAATATAATAATATCTTACCTGTGATGCATCTCGTGCAGGTAGAGGGCGTGCATGCTCATGTCCAAGGCCGTCGCTTCATACTGTTCTTGAACGCCCTCCCTCAGAGGAAAGACTGATGCACCGAAAGATGGTGACGCTAATCCGCCCCTGATAACACCACCAGGAAACAGATGCGCGTCACCGATCGGCCCTTCGTTCCTGCTCACATTCATGACATGACTCACCGCTCCCCTGTGCTGCGGATTCGGCTCCGTAGTCGTCATCATATTGAGCAAAGTGCTTATCTAGAAACATAATTTCAATAAAATCTGATCAAAACAAAATGCATTAGCTCATACCCCTGCTGCGACGGTTCCGAGGGAGTTCTCATCAGAAAACATGGTCGCGTTTGGGTTGATCTCGTGGAAAATCCTCTTCCTCGCCTGCTCCCTAACGCCGTTTACAAACGTGCTGCACTCGACTGGCGGCGACCAGTTCGGGTTGGTAAGCGTGAAATGGACGAGCGAAAGCTCTGTTTTACCCTCCATGGCCTGGTTGTGTAAGTTGGGCGGCGGCGTCGAAACAAAGTTGTCCTGGTCCTCGGTTGTCGTCGACGCCATCTGGTTCCAGTCCGGGTTGCCGTGTGTACGAACATCCATCTGGGCGAACGAGCAGACATCGCCGACACCGGCAACCTGGACTGTGAAACACCGGTAAAAGTCGACAAGGTCCAACGCCTTCTTTCGCAGGTGAAAAATCAAGACGAGAGGTGTCGCTATTGGTGAAATCAACTCCACAATCAGATATGTCTGTCAAAAGACCATGTGTTAGAGCAACAAGGTAGTTGTACAATATAATTCTTTTATTGTTAATCTATGAGGCAGGAGAAAAAGTCTTATCAGTCATGACAATTTCATATGATTGTTACTTTTATTAACAATAGTTAATATATATTAATATAGTANTTTATATATTAAATATTTTACTTAATATTTAAAGCAAATAATATTTATAATTGCCAAATTATTCTGTATTAAAAACTTATCGTTGTTTTTAGATTACAATTAACTCCATTAAATTCACTATTTTTCGTGGTCTGCTTGACTAATTAATAACATTCAATTAATTAAGGTTTTAAGTTGAGATAAAAAAGTTAGTGTCACGAGCGGGATTTGAACCCATTCACTTGTCGCCAAGAATCAAATAGATTACACGACATTTGAAAAATGGTAAAAAGGAGGGAAAATTCAAAAGGTGCGGTTGAGAGGGGAAGTTAGTGCCCAAGGTCATGGGTTCAAATCCCGCTTGTGACACTGACTTTTTTTATCTCAACTTAAAATCTTAATTAATTGAATTACAAATAACACTAGTTTTAATTGTAAATTGCAAATATTCAGAATTAAGGGTGGAAAATGTCTACAAACAGGGTAGCCAACATTGTACACTTTACATTAATGCTTTCATGCGGAACTGTTTTAGGATTAGGAGGAAAATTATATTCTTGTTTTCATGGATTACTATGTAAAAGTTAAAACAAGATCTTACTGCTGTATATTGGAAAAGCTGGCTAAACTGACTCCTGACTGTCTGTGTGTGCGCCTGCCCACGCCAAGAAGCAGGCAGGTAGTGTACGTGTGCCAGGACTGTATTCATCAAGTGTTCCGGCCACCAAACGAGGTGTTCATCTGGAATCATTGCCCTAGAAAAATGACAATTTGTTTAAGTTTTATTTAATAAACAAATAAAAAATATTCGATCGAGGGGGAACCTGAAACTGGCGACTACAGCTCCGAGTATCGTTATCGTGCTCAGCATATGCTCTACTGACAAGACGTCCTCGTCGTATACGGTGAGAGCAAGCAGGACTGCTAAAATCGATCCCGATATAAACACGATGTTCCTGTTGAAACAAACAAACAAAAGTTTTTTTAATTTATTTTATTTTATTTTTTAAATTAAAACTATATAAGTGTTTTTACTTAGCGATCACAGCCATCGTAGGAGAGGTGAAAATGTTCATGTATTTAGTGGCCGGCCGGTAGGCACGGTTCAGCCTGATGTTCAGCTCGTGGTCTAGCTCGTTGAAGTGCCTCAAGTAGAGTTTACCGTAAAGTGACCATTTCCTGACGCCCAGGGCACCTGGCTGGCGCTTTAAAATCTATTTAAAAAATCTATTATTATTTTTTTAATTATATTATGTCAGTTAGTGAAATGTTTCAGGTCTTTACAAAGAAGGTTATTTATATATATTTTATATCTAAAACTTACATTACTCATAACATGCATGTGTTATTTTTATGGTGAAAACAAATAGTCAACATTCTGCATAAAGTCAAAACTTTACTAAGCATCAGACAAATATTACGCTTAAAAACTTGGGAATAAACCCCACATCGGCTTAATGGTTATACATCACAATGGTAAGAACCACAGTGACAAAAAAACACCGAACAAGGAGATATAAACCAAAGTACAACATCTACAAAAGGCTATCCTGTCTCTTTACAACACATTTGCCACGCTACAGCAATATAAACTCTTCCATCCTTACATATTTATGTGCAAAAATTGGCAAAAGACGCCCGCATCAAAAGGAAATAATGCCAAATCCAAGGAGGAAACACCGCAAAATTCTAAGCCACCTTCCTCAGGGTCTACAACTTATATATTGTCACGAGGCGCTAGAGGTAGCCTAAGGACACGTTTAGGTGGGACAAATGCCCCCTTCCATCACAGAAGGTAGGTCAATTAAATTTCGGGCTAATAAGGACTCGCCTCATCTCTGCAGCGGACTGATCCTAGCTTCTCTAACTGGTTAAACCGTAAGTGCTTTTTGTCTCCACCGATTAAGCTCCTCCGTTCGCTCAATTATCAATTATTAATTACCACAAGAAAGTTTGAGGCCTGTTTATTTTAGTTTGTCTAAATTTTACCATTAAGTTAATAAATTTATTTTTGGTCAAGAAGGTTTTGTTTTACTTTTGCTTTTCATTTTACTTCTCTTTATTTTAATTCCCCCACGCTTTCATCACAGCGCACTCTGCTGATTTCGCTGTACGTGGGCTTTGGAAACTGCCGAACTTAAGGTAAGTTTAGGTAACCGAAGTCCGTCGCAGGATAGAGCAAAGCTGACACCTGGTAGCAGAGCGTGGTTCACGGCAAAGCTAACACCTAGTAGCTTGAACGTGGAAAGATCTCCTGCCACAGAAAATAGCAGAGATAAATTTAAATACACCAAAACTTACTTGACCACTTTGGCGTAAAAAAAAAAAAAATTTCAGGAGGTAAAAGCAAATTTCTATAAAATTTTAAATTTATAAATATATTTTGCGCCTAAATACCCCTTATAGTTACTACCCAAAAATGTCCCAGCAACAAATAAAAACTACCGAGTCAGAATCAGCACAACGGGGTGCTGTCCCCAAAGTTCCGTGCAATTTTTGCGATCACGCAGTCACGAGCGAGTCCGTTAAATGCAACAAATGTGGTAAGTTCTACCACTTCGAATGTGAACCCAAAATCCGCAGTACGGAAAAATGGATTAAAATGTCCATGCCCCGTAGGGAATCTTTCAATTGTACCGCATGTTCAGTCCAGAGTCCGGACACACTATTAACGGCCGATCTAGAAAAATTCAAATTAGAAATAGGGGAAATATTAAGGATAAATTTAGCTCCTTAAAGAAATCGTTAACGGACACATTAGACAAAATACAACAAAATTTTGTAACTCATCTAGCGGCACTAAACGCGAAAAACGGAGAATTAGAGAAGCAAATTAAGGCCATACAGGAGGAGAACAAAAATATCCTTAAAATTTTAAGCGAACAATACACATTAATCAATAATTTACAGGGACAATCCCAGGCCGAAACACGGGACAACGGGCAATTTGAAAATTTAGACACGTTAATTTCCCCACCTGATTTTAAGCCCATAGCTTTTCAGCCCCAAATAGCTAATAAACAAATTAAAATTCCGAAATATTTAAAGGATTTGGCCGCCTCAGTCCCAATTTTATCCACAGATAGCCCCTGGGATATTTTAAATTTTATTGGTAAATTATATGATATTAATGCTGCAGCCCCCGAATATTTTAGCGAATTGGTAAAACGGATAGTAGTGAGACACAATAACCCCGTATTTCAACAGATATTAAATAATATTAATGCCCGAGAATTCTCCTTTACCGAATTAAATGAAATCATTCTAGACACCTTAATAAATTTAAAAACCAAAACATTCTTAGTAACGAGAAAAGTTCTGAGAAATCAAGAGCCCCACGAAACCTTTAGAACATATACCTGAGATAATTAAATTCTCTAAAATTTTGGCCGACTACGACGAAAGGGACGTCGTAGATATAATTTTATTAGGGGTTAACACAGAAACGAGGGCAAGATTTCATACACCGAAAAGCCCACCACTTTGGCCCAATTGCACAATTTACTGTGGCAAGTCGAAAGACTTGAAATTTCGGCCAAATCCGAGATTAAGGGGAAATCCAAACGATCAAATAAATCTTTTCGGTACAATAAAAACTTCCCGGCCTTCACCAATTACAAAAACGCCAATTCGAGAATTTCCAATTACAAAAATTATAATCAGGGCATCAGCCTGCCTTCGGGAGGCAATTTTAATAGAAACCGCGATGCAAATGGCCACAATATTATAGGGCAAATTTCAACCAGAATAGGCAGGAAAATTTTAATAACAACAATGATTTCAGTTCGCGAAGTACAAACGGCCGAAACTGTAATACCCAATATAACAACAAACCTAAGCAAGGAAAGTTAATCCCCAAACTCGGCCGACATAGCAGCAATTATGATCCCGGCCATATTAACAAAATACACACTAACATCCCCCAAAAATACAATAAAAATCTCGAGCCACCTAAACAGCCAAGGAAGCCATCGGATAAATATAGGCCCAAAACATTAGACCGGAACCCAACTTTAATCGAGAATAGCTGACTCGGAAACTATCGTCCACCGATGCCTTCCATAAGAAAAAGGGATGACCGAAGCCCAAATCCAAAAAACTCATAAAGAGGGTCTATAATCAAAAATCCAAACCTGCGACACAATTAAGGCCACACCAAATTATCAATTTAATTTCGTCAATTAACTACGTGCCGATCCAAATTCAAAAACAGCCGTTTTTAGCACTAATAGATACCGGGTCATCAATTAGTTTTTTGAAAAACTGTCGTCCGATAAAATCGCTAGAATTGAAGATACTAGCGAAAAATTTCTAGTCACGAATGGCCAAAATATTTCGACCTCTTATAAGGTCACTTTAATAATAAAAATTGATAAATTCACGTGGGCACATGAATTTTATACCCTGAAAAATTTAACGTCGGACATAATTCTAGGATTGGATTTTGTAACAAAGTCTCGCACATGATTATAGACCCGTCAGAAAATATAATATACTTTAAATTTCGCCCCTCTAGTCGCGTGGCCCTTTCCTCCAATGAGGATAAATTATTACTAAATCCTATTGCAGGCTCGGATTAACAAATGTTATGAGATATAACATTAAATTACTCCCCAATACAAATCGAGACGCGCGGCATTCCCGAGTGTTACCGTATTGGCCCACAGCGGTACCAAATTATCAAAAACAAAAAAAAAAAAAAATTAAAATTAAAATAAAAAAATAGGGCCATCTTTCGCCCTGGACAAGGCGGAAAACTATCCAACCAAATGAAAAAGGGGCAAAATAAAAAATAAAAAATAGGGCCATCTTTCGCCCTGGACAAGGCGGAAAACTATCCAACCAAAAGGGGCAAAATAAAAATAATGATAAAAAATAAATAAATAAATTAATTAATTTAAAAACAAATAAATAAATNTTAAATTAAATTCATTTTTTTAAAATAATATTAATAAATTTGAAGTTTCAGACGCATGGATCGCTGCTGCTCGAGGAATCTCAGGCTATATATACAAAAAAAATATATATATAATAATAATTTTTTTAAACATTACTAATAACGCCTCATTTCAGATTCTCGAGAGATATATATATTTTCGGATCCTCTTGCAGCCATCCAGTATCCAATTCACAGGCCAACGAAGGACAACCAAGGCTGTTCGAGACGGGGACCGCCATCTACAACCAACCACTGTGGTGCTGTCCAGGAGTGCATCCCACTCGAAGACCACAACTTTGATGATGGCAAACCGCGGACGCGAAATAAAAATAAAAACTTATGTAAATAAAAATAAATTCACGCGTCCCCGAAGAGTTTTGCGTAGCCTGGACGTTTAATTAATACGCGCCAGGTTGCTTTCTCTTCAATACCCCACATGTAACATGAAGACAATCAGCACTTCAAAATAATATTAAATAGCCCCGACATTCTGCAAATAGTCTGCAGAAATCAATCAATAATTTCAACAAAAAATATTTTGGTCGCATTAGATAACAAGTAAACTTAATTTAAAGTGAATTACAAAGCATTTTTTCTAAATTAAATTTTTTTTTAAGGGATTCGGAACAATAGCAATAACCCTAGTCCGATCAATCAAAAATACTCAGACAGACTTATAGCAACATAATTATTTTATTTTTATATACACTATACGTCTAAATGTATTTTTATATATATTGTGTTGTGTGTGTTAAATGTTGCATGAATCTTTCATATGTTCACCACTGTGATTTTCCAATTGAATTAGGACTGATGGCAATAAAAAAAAATATATATAAAAAAATATAACCATATATTTAAATCGGTATATAAAAATATAAATAAAACGTATTATATTTTAGGGACTTCACAAGTGACCCTCACATACACACACACTGGCCCAACAAGTACCCTTCAACCCTAACATAGTTTGATTTACATGCGGAGAAAGTTGGTTTTATTTTGATACCCCATATTATTTTATTTTCATTTATTGTATTCAGTGGGTAATATGTCTGTCAACCTTAAATTTAAGGGGACCAGGGTTTGGCACACCCAAATTTTACATTGTTATGTTGACAATACATGATTTGTTTTCATTTGGTCCCGATGTAAATTGTAATTTTTTTTTTTTTCGCCCGCCAAGGGTTAAAATTTCTCCAGGGTTTATGGGCCTGGCCTGCTTTAGGGACCCCCCCCCCCTAATTATAGCTGCTTTACTTCCTTCCCAACGGC